GGGGGGACCTTCTGGTGGTCTGCGACCCCCCCTGACAGGAAGGGGGGGCTGAGGCGGGAGGTGCAGGTTAAGGCTGTGATTCTGTGATTGATTCCGTGATTGATTCCATGATTGATTCCGTGATTGAATCTGTGATAGTGATTGATTCCGTGATCGATTCTGTGATTGGTTCCATGGCTGATTCTGTGATTGATTCCATGACTGATTCTGTGATTGTGATTGATTCTGTGATCGATTCTGTGACTGATTCCATGACTGATTCCGTGACTGATTCCGTGATTGATTCTTTGATTGATTGATTCTGTGGTTGATTGATTCTGTGACTGATTGATTCTGTGATTGACTGATTCCGTGACTGATTCTGTGGTTGACTAGTTCTGTGATTGATTCTGTGACTGATTGATTCTGTAATTGACTGATTCCATGACTGATTCTGTGATTGATTCTGTGGTTGATTGATTCTGTGACTGATTGATTCTGTAATTGACTGATTCCATGACTGATTCTGTGATTGATTCTGTGGTTGATTGATTCTGTGGCTGATTGATTCTGTGATTGACTGATTCCGTGACTGATTCTGTGATTGATTCTTTGATTGATTGATTCTGTGATTGACTGATTCCATGACTGATTCTTTGATTGATTGATTCTGTGAGTGATTGATTCTGTGACTGATTGATTCTGTGGTTGATTGATTCTGTGATCGATTGATTGATTCTGTGATTGATTCTGTGAGTGATCGGGCCAGGCCCCACACCGTTGCTGGGCAACGCGTAGCTTTCATGACGTCACTCCCGCGGCGACGCCTCTCGGCGTGCTCGGTTGCCGGGCAACGCGTCGCCGCGGGAGTGACGTCACTTCCCCCTTCTCCTCGCCCCTCAGGCCGCCATGGCGGCCGTGTCGGTGTTCCCGTCGCCGCGGGAGCTCGGCCCGGCCCTGGCGCGGATCGTGGCCGAGGCAGCGGCCGAGGCGGCGCGGGGGGAGGGCGGGCGGTTCTCGCTGGGGCTCTCGGGGGGTTCCCTGGTGGAGCTGCTGGCGCGGGAGCTGCCGCCCGCCCTCAGCGCCGCCCCCGCCGCCGCCGACCCCGCGCGGTGGCTCGTGGCGTTCTGCGACGAGCGGCTCGTGCCGCCCGAGCACCCCGACAGCACCTACGGAGCGTACCGGGTGAGAGGGGACCGGGGAGGGAGCCCACCCTGTGATCCCCACCCGGGAGGGGACCCCACCCCTCCCCCTGTGACCCCCACCCGGGGATGGAGCCCACCCTGTGATCCCCACCCGGGGATGGAGCCCACCCTGTGATCCCCACCGGGGATGGAGCCCACCCTGTGATCCCCACGGGGGGATGGAGCCCACCCTGTGATCCCCACCCGGGAGGGGACCCCACCCCTCCCCCTGTGATCCCCACCCGGGATGGAGCCCACCCTGTGACCCCCACCCGGGGATGG